TAAATACCTCCCTTTTTAGTACTGCACCCTAGAAGAACGAAGACAAAAATTCATAAATACTTTTATTCCACATTTTTAATGTTTAAAAACTATGTTAACAGAGCAGTTATAGAACAGAACTTCTTACATGTCTTTATTTACACCACATCCTGGGAGGGGGGGAAATATGTGTTTGATCAACCATGAATGGCAAAGTTTTGTGACTTGTGACTCACTTAAATCATCCATCTGAAACTCATTTACAAGGATTTTACATTAATAAAACAGTGGTGTCCTACACGCACTGGACTTAGATGAAGTCTAAAATACACTGAACTCTAGTGAGCGGATTACATACCAGCGATCAAGATTCAAGAGTTTTGGGAAAAAGTGACTTAACACAGTCTATGTTGGCGTTGACACTGAAAAGAAAAGGCAATCATGCAAGACTTGCAAAAGCTTGATAAAATGGGTTTTTTTCCCTTTCTTTCATATTTGTGCTCATAGTTAATATTCAGGTCTTTCCCCCCTTTCAGAAATCCCAAAATTTGGGAGATGCAGCAATTTTGAAAAAAAAAAAAAAACCCAAAAGCCGTTCTCCTTCCCAACTTCTGTTTTCATAAATGCTGTGTAGTGGTATCAGTGTTAACGGTGAAACAGCATTATGAAGGAACAACTCGTTACTTTGGGTATATCTATTTCTATACGGCAATAATTTGGGTCTAAAATGTTCCTTATTTGTATCTCAGAGGACTAGCTTTGAAATAATTGATCTTAATACCAGTATAAGAAATCAACAAAACTATTTCTCAGACATTTCTCTCTCTAAACAATTAAGTAAGACTTGTAGGTTCCAAGTTTACATTGAGAGAACTATGTTACCTGGGAGAGAATGTAAATTTTTCTAATTCCCAAACAAAACTGCTAATATCTATGAAAACATTCTTGATATGCAGATACTAGCGACTTCTATTTCAATGTGGATCAACAACTGCAAAAATATACAGCCTCCTATTTATTTACAATATATTTACATACAAATGAAGTATTTCTTACAATAAGCCTCAACTGCATAGATTCTTCCTTTTAAAAGCACAAATTCAAGCCTGTATGCACATGGGCCCAGTTTCACAGTCCTTCCTCCAAGAAAATCCTAAAGAAGATCTGAGCCTTGTGAATTTTCCATGTTTTTCAAGAACTTTCCCTTTAAGATTTAGTGGTATTTTTCAGTTGTCAGCCATCCCATCCCCAGTTTGTACCTGAAAGCCTTAGATAACTACAAATAATTCACCGTGTGTATTTTAGAGGAAGTGTATTCTGCTGCTAAAAGATTCTCAGATCTGTCATCTCTAAGGAAACATTCATTAACATCGTTAAATGATGCAGTCTCAATCGTCTTTATTTTGAAAGGGGCTAGAAGATTACTGTGAACTGGAATGGAGGAATTACATTCTTAAAGTTTACACCCTTTCTAAGCCTCATGCCACTTACACTGATAAACAGAGGGGAACTGATTGATGGCTTTTGCACTAAGGCATAAAATCATGTATCTGATCATTTCACTGACCTCTGCCCCACTCCCACCCCAACAAAACGTGCTGTCCAGCACTCTGATCCACTGAAACTGAGCCGAGCACTAATCTTTTCGGAGCAGTTTGTAGCCCCTCATGCAGTGCAGCACTTTCAGCAGAGAATTCACTTTAAAGGGAGGACAGGATTGATCGCCATACACTGAACCCAAACATTCTGGAGAACTTACTCCTGACATGAATTCAGTATTTCCTCTGAGATTGCATTTACAAACGGTATATCATCTAATTCCTTTCAAAAAAGAAAGAAAGGAAAAAAAACACCCAAACCCCAAACACCTCACTTTTATCTCTTCACAGCTGCCATAACTGTAATCTTATGGTGTGTCAGCCCGCGCGAGCCCCGCTTACAATGATGCACCTATACCAGCATTTCCAGTGGGAAGAGGGCTGAGACGAGGCCCCTTCCTCCCCTCCTTAAGTCCTGCTTCCCACTTCTTGTCTGTGAGTCCTAGGAAACACCCTCAGAGAATTATGGGCAGGACTAATGAAGAGGAAAAGGAGAGACGAACTGGCTCACTGGCAGGGCTTTTTAAAACACGGTTTGCGGGCTTCCCTGGTGGTGCAGTGGTTGAGAGTCCGCCTGCCGGTGCAGGGGACGCGGGTTCGTGCCCCGGTCCGGGAAGATCCCACATCCCGCGGAGCGGCTGGGCCCGTGAGCCATGGCCGCTGAGCCTGCGCGTCCGGAGCCTGTGCTCCGCAACGGGAGAGGCCACAACAGTGAGAGGCCCGCGTACCGCAAAAAAAAAAAAAAAAAGAAAGAAAAAAACAAACAAACACGGTTTGCTGGGCCTCCACCCTGAGTTTCTGATTTTACTGGGTCTGGGGTGGGGCCTGAGAATGTGCATTCCAACGAGTTCCCAGGTGATGCTGCTTCTGGTCCGGGGATCCCCTCTTTGAGAACCACTGGCTTGGAGGCTTGACGCCAACTCCAGAAAGAAGCCAATTCTGGGGTAACTGTCTGAGGTGTCCTCTGAAATACCGTGACACCTTACCACAGCCCTTTGTCCACCCCAAGCCCCATGGCCATGACCCATGGATGCCCGTCTCAACAGGGTCTGCAAATGTAAAAAAGGAGAAGTGGGTAGAGAGCTTTTTTACCCCCCATTTGATTACTGGGCAGTTAAACCATGGTTTACTAGCACTAAACCCATTAAAAGTGCTGTGTGCTGGCTTCCATGACTGGTATGTGGGAGAAGCTATGCCGTGGCATCCTTTTTGGTAGCGGGAGGGAAGGAGACGAACTCCGGAAGTAAGGGGTCCTACAAATAGAAGCAGGCAGGCCAGGCCTGAGACCCCAGAGAAAAGAAAGGGTAGCAGCGGAGAACGTCCCTGGCGGTTTACGGCCCATGGGAGGACCCTTCATCCTCCGTAACCCTCCTCCTACCATGAGGTCTCTGGTGGCCCTGAGCTTGGTCCCCCTCCTTCGCTGGAGACCTAGCTTCAGGCCACCCTGGGCACCTCTAATTGGTGGTGTGTGACTGGAGTGGGCAATCCAGATTCCACTAACAACAAGTGAGGGATTCTTGGCAACTCTGAACAAATACCCCCCAGAAACAATATTATATTTAGTGCGTAGTTCTTTAGCAATCTTGTTATATTATCCTATTTCAGCTAAACTATGGGCTTAGATCATTTTCTCTAGCTGGTCTGGGGGGCCTAGCCATCATGTATAACCTGGTTTCTAAAGGAAAATGCATTCCAGGTTGCAAACAATTGACAGTTTTACAACATGATCTGCTTACAAACTGGGGGCTGCCCGTGCCTAACAAGACTGGACTTCTTTCCCATATATACTTTGCAACCCCACTTCCAGTAAGTAACATGAAGGAAACTAAGGATTTACAGTGTGCTGTGTTATTATAACTAGAGAACAGTTCATAATCCAAAGTACGAAGCTGGCACTGTTCACTAGTGCTGAGATCCTATCTACCAAAGGAAAACGTGCTGTTCCCAAAGGCTAAGGTATAATATTCGTTAGTCTACTCATTTAGCAGAAAAACGTCTACATCACTTGACTGTGTTATTTAAATTCTACCTAACATCTGTGGTACGTGTATTTTTGGCTACCGGTTCACTGTTCTGAATAAGAAGAATAAGGGCAGTACACTTTACAGCTAATCCCACACAAATGATGTAATTAGTCCGTGATATTTGACCAATTACAGTAGGGTCTATTATATTCAGTCAACAATAAACTTAGATAAACATTACAAAGAAGGTTTAAAAAACCTGTAGTATCACAGACATTCACAACAATGTGCATCCTCTAAATAAGTATCTTTTAAATAATAATAAAAATCCCTTGTCCTGACACGTAAAATCCAGAGATCCAAAAATATCACTACACATCCCAAGAGCTAATGATCACCTTCTAAATGGACTCTGTGGGCATAAAATGAATTGTTACAAATTAATGAAGAAAATAGAAAGCAGCATAATATAGCTTGCAGGCTAAATTTGTAGTTTTTTTAATGGAGGGTCATCCACTCTCTGGCTATTTCATTATCTGGTGCCCTGGACAGCTCAAAGGGCCAGCCAACTTGTTTTGTTGAGTTTCTCTCCTGCTCATCTAACATGGAAGACACTGCTGAGAAGGACAGAGATGGCTGTGGATTTTACTAGGTTAGGAATTCATACATAGGTTGGTACTCATATCTAAACACCTGAACTCTGACCTAATGTGCACGTTAATTCTGGAGCATTATGATAAAAGCTATGATGATCCCACTAAGAAATGCAGGAAATAACTTCTCCTTTTCCCCCGAGAGGATCACGAGAAAGTGCTCTGATGCCTGCGCTCTCTATGGGACATTAGTCTGTAAAGGGAAGGGGACATTTCTGTGTTACTCCCGGTAAGTGTGGAGGCCTCTGGGGGTCTCAGTTGGGGAGGAACAGAGCCCAGAGCTAAGTGCCTGGAAACTCTGCCAAGAGTCTGCGGTTAGAGGCCACTTATCTCTGGATAAGAAATCTGTGCTTGGTGAACTTACGTGTCTGTGGAATTCAACTAGGATGCAGATAAAACACAAGCCCTGTTTCAAGTGACCAGCTCACAGGGTACACACACTTCTTACTGTGTGATACGGACAATCCAATCATAGGTGATGGCCCAGCTCAGGCGGAGTGCGGTGCTGGGTTTCTATACTGTCTCCCATGCCTTTCCAAGCTACCTTGTCCCAAACTCTCTTCTTTTTTCAGCCTCTCTGTAGTTTCCTTCACTTGCTTTAGGAGAGGGGCTGGGGTAAGAGTGTGAGGCAACTCTGTCCTCCTGTGTGATTCACGTCAGGCGGGCAGTAACGGCCCACCCTTGACTAGGGGCGAGAAGAGAGACGGCACAGACGCCAAAGTCCCCATCTGGGGGAAGAAAGGTACACAGTGATTTCATCACGTGTTCTTTTCAAAGACCATCTCTGAGGGCTCGTTTTCTTTTTTCAAGACTGGATGGATGGTTAATGGAGAAGAAATAGGAATGAGGCTTATTTAAGGTACAAAAATCTTATATTTGTAATAACCTAAATTTATAGATATAAAACAAGTCTTTTAAAGACCCCCCTAAGGTACCCAATATAAAACAGGAATTACTTGTCCTAGATCATCCTTGGTTAGATACACATGATTCTCTGTGCAAAAAGCTGGTGGACATGAGTAAAAGCTGCTGGGTTTGTAATTTAAGAAAATGGTTTTCCCCCTTCAACAATACCGATGCAGGGCTGAAGGCTATCTGCATCTGAGGAATATTTCCTTAGGCATTTTGGACTATCTTTTTGTAGGACTCTTGCTTCTCAATTTGTTACAAAGGTATCATGGGTCTTCCCCAATAGAAGTTGACGCAGCTTAGAGTAACTCTGACATAAATTGTCAAGGGGGAAACAAAACGTCATTTGCTAGATTACCCAGATGTGTAGATTAGTATGTTTACCAAGGTAAGAATCATTCCCATCCCCTTCCCAGCTGAGAACAGTCGCCAGAGAATATCTCTGCACAGAGTGGGATGCAGTGCCAGCGAGGCCATGGGCTGCTGAAGCTCGGCTGCCAGGTGATCAGAGCTGCCTCAAATATTGGGCATCCTCTGATCCGGCAAGGGTGCGCGCCCTGTGACTCTCACATGATTATCCCTATGTGCTATGTTAACCAAAATAGGCAAATTATTTACGAAACCATTTTTTTTTCTGTAAAGCAAAATAAATATATACAATTCAAGATTCTTTTCTTTTCTAAAAAGGTACAGATATTATAAGCTGAACATCAGTAGGAAAATTATGTCAGAATCTGGATGTGTAATAAATAAACATGATGGATGATCATGTCTTCCAAGTTCTAAGAGACGATGACATCACAAAAAACAGAGTTAGGAAAGTGAAAAATAACTGATTGTGAAAAGTACTGGAAAATATGATTGCGTGCAATTTGGAACAAAAGAAATCCATAATCCTTAAAATTGATCCCCAATCTTGGAGGGACATGAACCATGATAGAAACAGGTCTCTGTTTTGTTACCAAAGTGTTATTCCATTGTGTATCTTGTAAATTTCTGTTTGCTTCTGTAAACTTGCAAAGGATGCAGATGAGGGCTTGCTGATGAGTGGTAACTTGACTGTTTCCTTTTCCATCTGGTCTCAGTGGCCCTCATCACCACTTGATGAGCAGGCCCAGTCGTAGATAACCAAGGGAATGCTGACCAGGGAAAACACGACCCCCAGACCCAAGAAAAGGGCAGCCTGGAGTGACAGAAAGGCAACGGTTATTTTCAGGGAAGCAAACATTTCCCACACATACCAGGGAAAAAACAGATATGCTTCCCCTCTCTTTTTGAGTCCCTCTGTATTTGGAGTTTGTTACAACTATTGCCGAACTGTGAGAATCTTTCTAAAACTGTGTGCATCTGATTCTCCAAGGATGGGAAACTAGGAAAAACCAGCTATCAGAACCATCCTCTGCATTCTGTCCTTTGACTTCACAGTCACCTCAGAGTGAATCTGTTCTACAGCTGACGGTATCCTCACTGCTTCTTTCAGACTAAGACGACAACCAAAAAAAAGAATGGGCTTAGAAAGCATACAGGTCATTTCATTACTCTACCAACCAACCTAGGTTATCGCTGGCAGGCAAACATTTCTGTCTGAAAAAGTGTTAAAAGGATATCAAAAAGAAAAGTAAAAAAAAAAAAAAAAAAAAAAAAAAAAAAAAAAAAAAAAAAAAAAAAAAAAAAAAAAAAAAAAAGAAAAGTAGATTTGATCAAGTGAACATAGGAAATGGGTATCCAAAACGAAGTTATTTCAAGGGTTGATAAAGGCCACAGGAGGCAGGTGACTAACTCTAGAATCTGGAGAACTCGAGATTATAAACTGCTTGGAAGGACGAAGCATCATGAGAGCCAGGGGGGCTGGACTAGTGTCTGGATGGGGAGACAGAGGTAAGGGAAGGGGAGAAGGTGGAGGGTGGCATTGGGAGGGTTGCACACAGGCTCACCATCACCGGTCTGGTGTAACTCCCACTGGGTCCCCACATGGACTGGATCCCTTGTCTAATGCTATTTGGTAGATCCTCCTAGCAGTTTTAAAACGGGAGCAGGGTTGGAGAGGCCCAGAGAATTCACGGGCAGTAGGTCTCCATCATTGTCAGACTTAATCTTAGTTTACGTTACTGCTGTGCCAGAGTGACTGCTCTTCCTCTCTGTCCTCATGAAGTCCCCACTGGTCAGATCTAGAAGGACTGGGGATTTATGGCTTTAGGGATAATCCTGTTGGGGAAGCAGATGCTCTACCAGCATCAACACTGCTCCTCCTCAATGCACAGCGATGATCCCGCATGCCTATATCTCGCATCCGGGTCTGTTGACTCAGGTAACATGTGGATTGGAGTGCTTACACTATCTGGGAGGGCGGCTGAGAAGCCTTCTCCGAAGCCAAACATAATGGTGCTCCAGAAGGTACTCATGTAGCAGCCACTTCACCCCTGCTTCCCTCACTGTCTCCAAGTGCACCACCTTCAAGATGCCTTTGAACTTCACCAGACCTGGAAACAAGAATCCCAATACAGAACGGTAGTTTCTGAATCCAGGTCTGCTGCTCCAAAGCATTTCTGTCAAATCCTAAAAAGACTCTTTGCACTAACTCAGCCATTTAGATTAAGGCATTACAGGTTCCCTGGGCTGTAGCATGGAGTTACAGGACTAGGAATTGTACCGAAACAGCAGACTGCATAAAATCTTTGAGCCTCTTTCCACCTCAGGTCTTGCTAAAGACAAGGCATTACCCTACAGAGACACAGGATGATAAACGTCTAATCTTTCAGTTGGCCCTGCCCTCGCACAGCAAAATAAGGCACAGTAAGAGCAAAACCTGAAAATATTTTGAGGGAATAGAGAAGATTTGGATATGATATTTTAAATTTCCCAAATGGGCAAACACTAGGACTGCTGCCTACTTTTGAGATCCCTAAAAGTAGTATTAGTTGGTGGAGATGGACTATTTATTTGATGTATTTCAGTGAAAAGCTCATCAGAAAAATGAGAGTGGCTGGCATGAGACGTACCCAAATTCGTTGAGTTCCTTTATCTCCATCTTGGCTTGTGATTTTTAAATAAAGAGATGAAGGAAGAATGAAAATAAGCATATTAGCAGACGTAACTCCTGAAAAATAAGGAAAAACAAAGTTTGAGGTTGTTATTGTGAAGCCTCAGGTTTCTAAACAGCTATTGTAAATAGAATAAGCAGAAAGTCAGAAAGCCATACCTACGACTCCAAAAATATCCTTCATGGAGGGTATGAAGATCACCAACAAGTTGATAATAACCAGGAGTATGAAGGTCACCAAGACATGACGACATAAATTAAACTTTGTTTTCTTAGCCAGTTCAAATAAAGAAGAACGAACCTGCAGGAAAAGAAAACAAAAAATTCCGTAATGCCCACAGCATGCTGCCTTTCACATCTCTCAGCAGTGACTGAAAGATTGGTGCACAGGCATTTGGGACATGTTTTGTCACACCTAGTGAGTTTATAGATAGCTTTAACGGTTTGGGAAGCAGGGGGGCTTGACTTAAGATGGGAAGTCTTTTTCTTTACGAACAGGTAGTTTTCTTTTGCAGGGGGATAATTTCTGTTTTATCTATGACGGAGTGTTCTCTTCTGGTTCTTCTGTATTCCCCTGTCATGGATGACTGGGATTCAGACAGTCTATCTACATTTCTCTATAAAGAGGACGGACAGATAAATTAGAACGAAGATTCGTTCCATCAGAAGGTTACCCTAACTCACTGATCCCACTTTTTTTGCAAAGAGCCTTGGGATCCTTCGTTGATGCAGTCTCAATGATGCAGGAGAGTTCCCTGCAGCAGGCTTGCTCTGCAAGGAGACCTCAGCTTTTCTCAAGTTGCACTGAGGCCTTTTACTCACCGTGAAAAATAACACCGGCACCGTGAGGATGACAGCGACAATGACAGCCAGCCGCACCGTCAGGATGAGGATGTCATCTTTACTCTGATACTTGTGGAGGAGGTCCGAATGCACATTTTCTAAAACGAGGGAAACGTAAGAGGGTGTTAAAACAAGACAAAAGCACATCACGGAATGATGGGTTTTCTGAGCCACAAAGAATTTGTAAACTAAAGGGCAAGGAAAGCAATGTTCTGGGTATCGAAGTGTCTATTCACAATTTATAAAGTTGAAAAGAAAAATCGCCTGTGTGAGATGGGCACCCCCTGTCCACACATACCTGTAGCAAAAAGGAATGTACAGTAATCACTAGAAGTGGGGCGCTTAATTTACACTACACTAAACCTAAGAGTAAGTTGGGGGTAGAAATACCATATGGTTGAAGCACAAAGCCCTTCTTCATCTAGATTCTCCCCGACTTGGTGCCACTCATCAAACAGCACCGAATAGCCTCACTCTCGCTAAGTGGACTGCAGGCCCCCCGGGGCCACTTTCAAACCCTCCTCTTATAACTCAACGTCCAAGCGGCAAAGGTACCCATGGAACTTCACCATGGTGAAGTTCATCATTCTTCTCTTCCAGGTATCTTTTCCTCATAAAAAAAGTACTTAGCTTATACACCACTTTGAACTTTTTCTCAACTCTGAACTTCAGAAAGTGTCATTTCAAAGACAACCAAAGCTAGAATGGCAGCCACTGAGAGCAAGAATGCTCACTCGTGTCTTTTTTATCAATGACTTTTGAGCAGTTAGTTGTGATTTGGGTATGCTTGTGAGAAGAGGTGAGCTCAAGGTCCTGCTACTCTGCCATCTTATCTCCAACTCGAAAATGCTCACTCCTTTGACGAAAGATAGTTTCCCTCCCTTCTCAAGGTTCAGGGTGTGGAATCCCAATTCTAGTCTGGGCCAGAGATTGGTCTCAATTTTAGAAAAAGGGCCCCAGGCTATAATAAAAATCTCCTTAGTTCTAACTTCCTTGATTCAAAATTCATAACCATCTAAAAACAGCTGAGTTTTTTCTTTGACCTAAGAGTATGAAAGTGTTTGGTATTCTATTCTATGTGGGAAAAAAATGGATTTGCCAAGAAAAATCATAGCTTGAACAAGGTTGCAGTGACCATTCAACTAACATTAGGCTCTCTCTCTCCCTCCCTTTACCCACCCTAATCCCTGCAACTCTGCAGGAAACTTAAGAACACCATCTTTATGCAGAAATTAAATGTCGTATTTATGGACTCACTAGACAATGCTATTCTCTATCGCTTGTGAGAATGTTAATAAGGGAATTCCCTGGCGGTCCAGTGGTTAGGACTTGGTGCTTCCCTTCCTCTCTAGGATGAATTGATCATCTCCAAATGTGTTTAAATTTTGAGACATTTGCGTTTATGGAAACAAATGCCCCCAAGAAATATTATTTAATAGAGAATGTGAAATTTATGTATTTAAATTTATATTAGGTCCCAAAGTATGATAATGAAAGATGTTAAATAAAGCTGCAGGATGACTGGAATAGAAGAGGATGAAGAAATGCTAAAAGAAGGTAAACTATTCATACAGGGTCAATAAAGGTTACAAACGAAACCTTGTTCTTTTTCAGATTTCATTTCTTTTAACTTTCTATGTCACTGCTTCAAATCCTTGCAAGGTTCCACCTGCAGCTGAACAATCAGGTGCTTTATTTCTATTTATTTATTTATTTTTGCGGTACGCGGGCCTCTCACTGTTGTGGCCTCTCCCGTTGCGGACGCGCAGGCTCAGCGGCCATGGCTCACGGGCCCAGCCGCTCCGCGGGATGTGGGATCTTCCCGGACCGGGGCACGAACCCGCGGTCCCTGAGTCGGCAGGCGGACGCTCAACCACTGCGCCACCAAGGAAGCCCCAGGTGCTTTACTTTTTTTTTTTTGTGGTACGCGGGCCTCTCACTATTGTGGCCTCTCCCGTTGCGGAGCACAGGCTCCGGACGCGCAGGCTCAGCGGCCATGGCTCACGGGCCCAGCCGCTCTGCGGCACATGGGGTCCTCCCGGACCGGGGCACGAACCCGTGTCCCCTGCATTGGCAGGTGGACTCTCAACCACTGCGCCACCAGGGAAGCCCTGCTTTACTTTTAATTAATGCAGAGTGTCATGAGCGTAGCACTCTACTCTTTCTCACTTTCAAAATCTGTCTGTCTCTCTTTTCTATTAATGGAATCTGACCCAGTTCTCAACAGCAATTAGGAAAGCCTTCTCTGATTATAGTTTTAAACTTTCCTCAGTAAAGGTGGCGTGCTGATAAAATGCAATTTCTTTTAAGGACAGTATTAGGAGAAAAAATTACAGTATATTGTTTCAGTAATTATTCTATTGTGCAGTCTGCATGAAAATGTAAAGGAACCACTGCCATTTGCTTTAAATAGAAGAAAAGATCAGCAAAGTCAATGGACAGGTTTGCTGCTTTTTGGGCTACCATATTAAAAGTTATTTTGATATTGATTTTTACTAATTTACTTACTAATACCTATATTTATGTACTGACAGAAGGTACTTACCATAGAATGTCAAGTAGCCAAAAATGGCAGTCAAGAAATACATAACAAACATGGCGAAAAAGGAGATATTTGAAACCATCTGCATCTTCTTCTGTGATCGACTAAAAACAAAGATAAAGGAATTTGAAAAATTAAAAACCACATTACTGAATGTAAGCACCAGTGTTAACACTGAAGAATAGAACTTAACTTTCTATCAGGCTGGGGCTGACCTGACCACCTGAAATTACCCCCAGCAAATATGCCAGTTTATAATAACTTCTTTTACACCAAATGGGTATTGTGAGAGAGACAGCCATGTAATGAACAATCCCTTGAATGTTCTTCCCCATTCTTTTGAAAGAATATCAAGTTCTCATCTGTAGAGCAAAGAGTATTTTTTAACATTTGTTTGATACTATCTGTACACTCAGCATGCACAGGAAAAAGGCAGAATAAATTCCAAAGCTGTTCTCTCAGCTCCGGGCAGAGCTACAACTTGACCTCGGTGTTCAGTTGCTAAAGCTGCTATTTAAGTTCCGGTTTTCCCACTGAATAGCCCCAGGGAAGCCTGTTTGTCTCCAGAGCAATGAGTGCCTAAGAGCTCACAGCTGGGATAATGAAGGGCTCTCTCTTTCTCTCTTAGGTTAAGTTTACTCTGGGAGTTTGCATGAACCTCTAAGTTTCTTTAACTGCCCAAACAATTAATCTACAAGACTTGTACTCAACAGTCGACCACCAACAGTCACAACATTTGATTGTGTCATAAAAGGCAGTATGGAAAACGAGAAAAATTGAGAAGTACCCACGTGAGGAAGTTACAAACTAAAAGCTGAACTATTAAATTTAAAAGATGCCAAAGACGTATTTAAACACCCTAAATATAAGGTCATAAAGTAAGCCTGATGAACACATAGATAGGTAGATGTAAATACTGATATTTCAAAGTTTACTGATATATCAATTAAATATGAAAGAGGAAGAATAATGAGTGAATTCAATGCTAAATAACATTATCTTTATTTTTGTCTCAAAATGGAAACAGCTATATTGTGTATCTTTCTGAGTCTGAGACTATACCATGATGCCTACTTCAAGAAACAAGAAAAATCTCAAATAAACAATCTAACCTGACACCTAGAGGAACTAGAAAAAGAAGAACAAACAAAGTCCAAAAGAGGGGAACAAAGATCAGAGTGGAAATAAATGAAATAGAAACTAAAAAGACAATAGAAAAGATCAATGAAACTAAGAGCCGATTCTTTGAAAAGATAAAGAAAAATGACAAGCCTTTAGCTAGACTCACGAAGAAAAGAAGACAGAAGGCCATGATAAATAAAATCAGAAACAAAAGAGGATAAATAACAATGGATACCACAGAAATACAAAGGATTATAAGAGAATATTATGAAAGCTATATGCCAACAAATTGGGCAACCTAGAAGAAATGGACAAATGCTTAGAATCATATAACCTTCCAAGATTGAATCATAAAGAAATAGAAAATCTGAATAGACTGATCACTAGTACAGAGATTGAAACAGTAATCAAAAACCTCCCAAAACACAAAAGTCTCCAGGACCAGAGGGCTCTCCTGGTGAATTCTACCAAACATTTAAAGAAGATTTAATACCTATCCTTCCCAAACTCTTCCAAAATTTTGAAGAGGAGGGAATGCCTCCTAACATTTTATGAGGTCAACATCACCATGATACCAAAACCAGACAAAGACGACACACAAAAAAATTGCTGGCCAATATCTCTGATGAACACAGATGCAAAAAATCCTCAACAAAATACTAGCAAACTGAATACAACAATACATCAAAAGGATCATACACTGTGATCAAGTGGAATTTATTCCAGGGATGCAAGGATAGTTCAACATTCCCAAATCAATCAATGTGATATACCACGTTAACAAAATACCCACTTACGATAAAAACTCAATGAAGCGGGTAGAGAAGGAACATACCTCAACATGATAAAGGCCATATATGACAAACCCACAGCTAACATCATTCTCAATGATGAAAAACTGGAAGTTATCTCTCTAAAATGAGGAAGAGCACAAGTGTGCCCACTCACACCACTCTTATTCAACCCAGTATCGAAAGTTCTAGCCAGAGCAATTAGGGAAGAAAACGAAATAAAAGGCATCCAAATTGGAAAACTGTCCCTATTTGCAGGTGACACGATTTTATATGCTGAAAACCCTGAAGACTCCACCAAAAAACTATTAGAAATAATAAACAAGTACAGTGAAGTTGCAGGGTACAAAATCAACATACAAAAATCTGCCATGTTTCTGTATGCTAAAGATGAGCTAGCAGAAAGAGAAATTAAGAAAACAATCCATTTACAGTTGCAACAAAAAGAATAAAATACCTAGGAATAAAACTAACCAAGGAGGTAGCTACAGAGAATAGAGTAGTGGTTACCAGAGGGGAAGGGGCTGGGGAAGGACAGAATGTGTAAAGGGGATCAACTGTATGGTGATGGATGGAAACTAAATTTTTGGTGGTGAGCAGGATGTAATGTATACAGAAGGAGAAATATTAGGTTGTACACATGAAACCTATGTAAGGTGTAAACCAGTTACCTCAAAAAAAGACACTATGCTATGACGACTATTTTTATGTGGGAAGTCTGATAACAATAGGCTAAAAAGAGAACCCATGAGGGAATTTATAAGCAGGGCTTTCGTTTTCTCTAACAGCAATCAAAAAAAAATCCATATAATCATTGTAATAGTTTGCAATGAACAACAATATTCTTTTGTCCAGTTTGTGGTCTTAACATTAATTTCTTCCTGCCTGATTTACCAGCCTTTTCTAAGTAAACCAAAAGGCAAATCAGATGCAGTGTATTTAGTGGCTCACAGATGGGTATGAAGATTACTATTATCCACTTGCAAAATAATCATAAGTAACATAAAGCAACACAAATACTTGAACTCTCTTGAGTAATACAGAATTTGAAAAACCAAATTAACAAGAAAAAGCCCACAGAGTAAGCCACTTTATACATTTATGGCCAAAATATACTGCAGGTTTGTGATTTTTCTGGCTCAAGAATGGCAGAAAGAAAATGTTGAAGCTGGGTGATGAGTCAGCGGGGGTTCATCATATGAGTCCATTTATTTTAAATACAGTACTTGCCTATTAATGAGGGGCCCTAAAATGATTCAGTTTGCAAAAAAATGAAACAAATTTCTTACTCTTTAAGCTCGCTGTAAATTGGCAGGACAGACGGGTGGCAGACAAATGCAAATGCAATTGTTGGTAAAGCGTACACGGTCTATTTGAAAGAAAAAATATAAATGTTACGGAAAGGCATTTTTACCATAAAAATTGTACAGCTCCAGTATTTCTGAGCCGTCTTTTCATCTGACAGCCCTTCAGAATCCCTGGATTATTTGGTTATTAGGAGAGCTTTGGTATCGAAATAGGAGCAGCTTCTCTAAGAGAGCTTATCTAGCTTGAGACATTAGGCACTTGGCAGAGAGGGGTTCTAGAGCTGGGCTCACCCACAGTGTATTTTACAACCTCCAGGCACTGCGTCATCCCGTATTTATGTGGCGCTAGCCGGTTACATAGCACTTTCCTACATTATTTCACTGAATCCCCACAGCAACCCTGAGGCAGACCAGTGCTGTTCTCCTGACTCCCTCCAAGACAGGCTAGGCAACACGCCCAGAACTTCCACCTCCATTTTACTGCTCTTTGCACTATATAGGGTGCATCAATCAGACTTAAATATGGCATCTAAAAAGAAAGTTACTTTCTAAAAAGAAAATCACTTCATTGCTTTGGCTGTATCCTTGAGAGTTAAAAGACAGAAAGAGAGAGAGAACGAGCTAAATTAGTTTTCTTAGATAAGGTTTTTTAAAACTCCCAAATTCAATATAGTAACTTCTTATGCAAAAAGAACTTGGCAGAGAAGGAGGGAAAAGTAACATTTCTCATGCTCTAATTTTGCCCAAGCACTGTACCAGGCACATTCTAACAAAATCCTGTAAGATACAGAATAGAATAGTTATTTTACAAATGGGGTTGATAATTTGCCTGAGGATTCAAATCCAAGCCTGACTGGTTCCATAGTCCATCATTTCCCAATATGTCATATGAATGTTCCTTAAGTGCCAATTTGTGGTGGTGCCTGTATTTCAACTGTACATGCTGGGGAAGTCTGAGGTGTCCCTTTCTGTCACCACAAGATAAGAAGCAGTGGGCTAAGGATGTTAGTTATTAATTTGTTTTTAAAGATCTACAAGGAATAACAGAGCTGAGACAATTATCCAGAAAGAGGTTTTCCCAGGGAATACTTAAGGCTGTCCTACACATAAACTGGGTAAAAGGGGGAATGAAATATACAATTTGTATATTTCTCCAAGGTCCCTAAATGGATTGTGGCAGTTGGAAGCAGTGATACAGTGTTCTTTTGAGAACAAACACATCAAAGACAGTTTAATCAAAAGAAGTCTGAGAAATACAAATGCCCTTAGTAAAAACGCTTGTTTTTATATTTAAAGGATAAGAAACTTACCTTTGAATTGAAGGTAACATATTTTGGCGTACACATGTCAGCATTTGTTGTATTAGCACTTATTGTTGAATTTAGCTCTGGAACAATGCAGGGAATTTGAAATTTCTTGTATATAACCTAGTATTAAAAAATAAAGGAGAAACAATCAGACTTTATCAAGTAAAGCCAAATAATGCACAATTATTACATAGCATCATACTACAGCAAAACCAAGCCAACCATTTCAATCAGCACTTACCACAATTAGGAAAAAAACCATACAGCTCAAGGAAAATCCACTAGTATAGCCAAGATAGCCTAAAAAAAAAAAAAAGAATTATTATTATTTCATCCATCACCTCTTTCAATGCATTATTTCAAGCATAGTTTGGGGTTCCAATAGTATTCATACATGCTAATATTAATACAAGATTATTTGATAGTGCTATACCTTACTTGGCAAAATAGTGACTTTAAATTAAAACATTAGAGCATTATGTGTTTTGATTCCAGTTCTTCCTGGCACACTAGATAGAGAACACAGATTCCCAGAATCCAGGGGAAAAGACCTTCCCAAATTTGGCCATAGGTCTCTATTGCTGTACTCGGATGGATTCCTGTGGCCAAATCCCATTTACTCCTTGATCCATTCAATAATTCCTGATTATGCACATATTGTATAAACACTGAATATACGCAGAGGAGAGGAAGTGGTTTCTAGGGAGAAACTGAACACCTGAGGATCTCCACCTTGCTCCCCTTGGAATGCCTGGGAGATCTCCAATCACCATAATCTCCAGAAAGGCAGAGTTCAGTGGTCTCTGGGGGCTGCACTATTCTCACCCCTTCTCCACTTGCACTGAAAAGAGCTACATGTATATACACAGAAAAGCTTAAACACAGACTCAGAAACCAGATAATTAAGTAGCTTTAAAAAAAATCTACTTATAGGTCTCACAGAACAGCTACAGAGGCTTGGTATTTTTCATACAAAACAAAAAATTATGGTTAGCAATCATTTTGGGAAGAACGTTAAATGTCTGCCTTGAATGAGCCCAGAATGAAAGGAAATGCATTTCAGAGGCTTTGGACTGGACGGCAGTCTGGCTGCATTATTCCACACACGAAATGTCCATAACATCAGGGACCCTGGCCTCCAAATACACACACACAAAAATGTCAAAACCAAATGGATATGACTTAGTGATTATCTACCACTTTTGACTTTTTGCTTCTCTCTCTCCCTTCAATGAAGCAAATAATTGAGACCGGTTAGACTCTGATAATTTAAGAGTGATTCATAACACTTTGGAGTAAAAATATAAGCAGCTTTCTGTCTTGATATCAGATGTGAAATTCTGCTCATCTAAATAATCAGAGTATGTAAGACCTTGTATGAGGAGAATTCCATTTCCTGGACTTTGTGCTTTTGGACAGAGCACCGTCTGTTGCTGGTCCCAGGACCTCCCTTCTTCCCTCCACGGCTTAGTAGAGGGATTGCTTAGGAAGTCACATACCAACCAGTGTTTTTATCCCATGTTAAAGTCAAGCCTAATTAATACTTGTAATTTATCACTCATTTAATCTTTACCCTACAAGTGAAAGCAGAGGGCAAAGTTGTTCCTTTTTATTAGGTTTCTGATTCACCTGGGTATTGTAGAGACTATGAGAAAAGCAAGCTCTTACCTAAGTTCTTCAAGAGACACAGAGGGAGAATTATGCCAAAGGTAACTACCACCACCAGAAGGCGGCCATCCACGTACCAGGCTCTGAAAGGCATGTTAAGCGGTTAGGTCACATTTTCTTAGAAAGTGACTTTTCTTTCCTCACACGTAAAATTTCACAGTACTTAAACTTTGTTAACTATTACTAATGTTTACCATTAACTTTTATCATTATTCAGGTTTATCCAACCACTTTGACCCAACCACTAGTCACTTACTATCATCTCTCTCCCCAGGCAGCAGAAGAGATACTGCTTTCCCCCTCACTCCCACTGGCTAAGCGTGCCTTTCCTCTGAATTATTTACATCGTTTCAAAGCTGAATGCACACATTATGTTCTGTCAGATTACAACTTCTCTTATCGATTATTTAAAGAGAAAGTTCCTTTCTGTTTTGCTTGGCTAATATCATCGAAAAGCAAGTCACCACAGGTAGCCATTGCTTTCTCCCTAATCCCTTGTATTTGACCTTGAATCCTGATGAAAGAACACTAGGAACTCTGGTTTCTACGATTCTCCCTTGAAAGAAAAGTGAGAAACTAAGACTGACGAGAACTGTTAAACAAGAGGTAGTCAAAACACAGGATGTACTAAACGCAGCTGCAACATTTTCCAAGGTTAGCTGCATCTTTAATGAGGTTGGCTCACGTCAGTTCTGCTCCCCAAATGCTCTGTCCCTTCTTTAAGGAAGAGACTCGGGTCTTAATCTTGCTTGTTCCACTTCTGTGTCAAAAATACTCCACATCTGTTCTATTTCATAGAAACTGGATGTAGATTTCAAGCTCTTGGGAAATTGCAGCACCTAGTATTTACAGCATGACCGATGAATCTACCTTTTAAATGCTCAGATTCAAATGGCTCTGCCAGCTTCCTTCATTTATATACCCCCAGAAACAACAAACCAAGAAAAAACAGCCTAGGGAAAACTTTGTTTCTGCAGTCCTCATAAAACAAAAACGTTGGTTAGCCCACATTTCAATTAAAAGCATTTTAGTTATCTCACAAACAACAGGTCTATAACTTACGAAAATGTCTCTTCCTTTCCCATTAGGAACTTTATGGCAGAGGGTAGTTCATTTTTTACTATGAAGAGGTAGCTCAGCATTGCTAGAGGAAAATGAGAAGATTTTTAGAAAGAGGATACTGAGGCTCACGTTGCAAGCTATATAAAAGGTCACCAGCCTGTTCCTAGACTAACCTTCAATAAGACACAAAGACAGCTGTAGATGCTGTCCCAGTATCCTTGGTTGTTAAGTGACTACTGTCTCTGCTGCACTTTCCAAGTGCCCTTTTAGCAATGAGAATGATACTGCTTGAATTATGTTAAAATTCATGTGGCCACCCAACCACCAGGATTAGAAAGAAATAATAATGTTCACAACATTAATGCATAGAAAAACACGATCTTTTTACCTCCAGTGTTCTGTAGGGAGGTGGCTCCAAAGATGACAAGTTTCCCTGTGGTGCCAAAGACCTGTTCTCCCAGCTTTTCATAAACCATGCAGCCTGTTTAAAAACCACAGTTGAGAACAGAAGAAATGACAGAGTTCTCTATGTTAAAAATAGCCAAGATTTCATCATTCTATTGATGATTCCCCAAGTTATTGTGTCTTTATCAAAAATCACACAAATAGCCTTCTTGGCTTTGCAAGGGTTAAGGCATTCTCATTACAAAACAACCCCTTGACATTTTTAAATGTCAGACATGACCACCATTTTTTCTTTTTCAGGTTGGCTACAAAAGCATTGCAAACAAACGATGAGGTCATAAGACTTATTTGTTTTACTGTCTCAAAAGTCTCCCTACTTTACTGGGGGGGAAGTTCCCACTCTGATCTTATTCTCAGGTCTGGTGTGTATCATTAAAATAAAAATTTGACTTAAAAATAAAAATCCTGATGCTTGGGGAGAAAAGTTCCTTTTGAATGAATTACCTGAACTGATTAGGCTAACAAGGAATTATCTTAGTAATATTCCAACAATGCCTCATGGGTCCTAAATATAGTAACAAGCTTAGAAACATGTAATAACCACGACATCAGAATTCTGACCTTTGATAAAATTTAGTTCAGGGATTTGCAACTCACAAAAGAGTGAAGCAGATAACTCTGTCAAGAGAATAATTTGGCCATAGCAAAATTCTAAAGTGTTCAACGGGCTCATCTCAATAAATACTAAAATGTTAAACCATTCATTTAAGGAAATGGGTTTATATTTCTTTGTTACAGTTCAGCTCACGTTTTTCAAAAGGTTCACAGGAAGCAATATGAGTCAGACTATAATTAAACTTTTGTTTATTCTCTCATAAGACTGGTGTTTAAACTAGACAATGGTTAGATCTGCAATTTATTAGAAAATGTTCCAGTTAAATGGAGTCATCTACATACAGTAATAGTCGGCCAATGTGGTTTTAGCTAAAGTAAAAGTCAAAGTATTACAAACATAATCCAGTGTCCCAGGAACAGAAAATAAACACTTCAGGTATCACACTGCCCAGAGAACCTGAAGTCTTTTCACAGCACACTCACTCCCACATTGCATTGGGAATCACATTTTCTCCTTGGAATATGCACGAAAAGGAATGAAAGCTCTGTTTACTTTTGAAACCTTGGAGGCTATAATATAAAAACATGGGAGCCTTGGTCTGATTTTATAAAGACCTAAGGAAAAAGCTGAGGCCTTTAAAATGAAGTCATCTTAAACTAGAACAGCAAGTATAATTGAGGGTTCTCTTTAAATGGCAATGTTATTTGCTCATTGTTCATAACAAGTTAACTTATATGTTGCTCTATCTACTTCTCTAGGTAAATTCCTCTATAGGTCTTCCAGTGAGGACAGGTCAAAGTACTGTTTTTCTTTAATAATCAAGTTGCTGAACAGGGAGAGTATCATTTGTTCACAATATCACCATGAGAATCAATTATCCTGGCTTTACAAAACTAGACATGCTATCAGCTTACCTGTTTCCTTTGAACAGATCAACAGAAGGTTGATTGAATATATAGACAGCAGTGTTACTGAAGTCAAAAGTACCCTAAAGCAAAGAAAATAAGTCTTGTGATAACTATAAAGAACACAGACCCTGACCTTACATTGCACTGGGTTGGCCAAAAAGTTCGTTCAGGTTTTGCGTAACACGTTACGGAAAAACCCGAATAAACTTTTTGGTCAAACCAACAGAAAGGCCAAGGCTGATTTATATGTTATATGGTTAACGCTATTCATTGACAGGATCCAGATACTGGAACCTATCAGTCACACCCTCCTTAAGATCCTCAATAAAAACGTTCTACCAAGTAAAGAACTGCTCATTAGAATGTAACTCCAAGAATTTAAATGCTTTGTAATCCTAAGTGTAAACAGAAATAGCTTTCTGGGATCATTTCAGTTGAGGTGACTTTAAAACAACATTGTGAAAGAAAGCTTTTGTAGTCTATGGTGCACTTGCTGTGACACCCCCATGAGGAAGTGTGAGAAAGGGGGGTGAGGGTGGGAGTGGGGTGAGTGGGGATGTTGAGGGAAAGGCTTGCAGTGACCCTTAGGTCCAGGACCACGTGACTGTGGGCACCTTGCTTGATGTCTCCCATCCCTCGCCTGTAACAGAAGGCCAAACGGTGTCTGGGTTCTTTCCACCTAATTACTCTATGGCTATCTTTGAATCCATACATTAGACCACCGAGATAATTCACTTTTTTTTTGCACCCGGTTCCTCTTAAAATAATAATAAGTTTCCCTCTCTTAACGGATGGGAAAAGTTTGACAATCAAGCGGAATGAAAAGACTTTGTTGAACGACGAACTCATGTTTTTGTTTTAGTACATCTGGCTCATTATCAAACCTTCCTCGAGAAAAAGCAGTTAGAATGATGTGGGAGATGGCATAGATTATTTCTGAATCATTTGGTTAAAACAGACCTAAGAATTGCAAATAAAGCTTATTTATTTAAAGAACTAAACTCCAGTCCCCTAGATAAGACCACTCACTTCCTGATGTAGGGA